TGTCAAACTCTGCACATACATCGTCCTGCACAGTGAAGCTCAAACATCACACTGTAGGAACAAGAAGAATAATATATATTTGACTGGAGGAGGACTTTAAAGATTCAGAATCTGCTAAACCCAATGCAGTCTTAACTGGTTCTTTAATTTCAGAAGTTATAAAGTAAAACAGAGACAGACACATTGCTTCCTGCACTTCTAACACAGACACAGTACATCAGGTACAGAATGACTAATTCTTTACAGTACATTAAGTGCACATATGTTTATCTAGATGCGTGTCTGTGTGTGTGGCTGTCAGACACTCACAGTCGTCGCAGTAGCTGTTTCCACAGCAGGGTATGACCACAGCGTCACTCAGCAGGTCATGGCAGATCAGACAGAGCAGTTCGTCAGGTACAGGATCCTCCTTGTCTTCTGACTTGGGCTGCTCCTGAGGAACGAAGGGAGGCTTCTCCTTCTTGCCAATGGCGTACGCCTTACTACAGACAGACAATAATTCACTCTTTTTATGTGTTTAGCGGATGCCTTTATTTAACCAGTCACTTTAAAAGGGTATGGTTGGCGTTTTTGACATTTTGTCAGCTGATGAGCACACACCGGCTGTTGGAATTGAAATTGTGACATTTCATATAAACAGTCTTGCTAATTGTGCCTGTGATTCAGTTATCACGTCCATAGGATATTTACAAAGATCATCCAAGAGGTCTCTGTACGTCACATCTAGTTTCCTTTGACTCAGCATATTTATATGGTCCTTTTGATTCATATCTTTTGCCTTTGCTTTTGTGAATACACCCTAGCTCATAAACAGCCTATCATAGCCTTTGATAATGCAGCGTGCTATGAGTGAATCACTATGGCCACTTCCACTCTTGGGAGCAAGCTGTCAGTTATGAGCTACATCTGTTACATCTCAAGAAACAATCCACAGGCAGTCCACCATGGAAAGGTACTCAGCAACAATACCGTACAACAAAACATATACATTCAAATTATTACCATAAACTCAATCTTCTTTCACCTGGTCTTTAATAAAATAAAAATTAATATATATAGGTTATGATATATTAATAATCATTAAAAATGATCAATAATTCTTAATATCGACTAAAATTAAACTTTTTTTTAAAAAATGTTTACCTTCTGGTCTTTATGCTAAGCTAAGCTAACAGCCTGCTGGCCATAACCTTACGTTTAAAGACTGATATGAGAGTGGTATTGATCTTCTTGCCTTACTCTCGGCAAGAAAGCGAGTAAGTGTATTTCCCAAAAGACACTCAAACATTGACTCTTCTGTCTTACGCGTGTATGGCCGGAATCGCATAATGTCCACAGTTGGTCAGCATGGCTCCCTTTATGTTGGGATCGTCCACCTCCACCATGAAGGAACGAGGGATGCCTGTGCTTTTCTTTATTCTCAGAGGGGCCTCAACATTTTTATCCTGCAACACACGCACACAACCTCGACATTTAATGCTAGGCTTAGCAGAAATGTAAAGACACACACTAATAAAATCATTCTCTTGTGCATGATTGTAACCGAAACTGGTTCACAAACTGTTCTGCTCTTACCCCACTGGTGGGACAGTTCCTGATGTGGTGTCCGGTATTTCCACAGCGATAACAGGTGTAGTTCGCTGGAAGAACACCACCAAACTTCTTGTTGTAACTTAAGGGAGAAAAAGAAAAAGAAAGAAATTACAGAAAAGCAGGGAGACTGTAGCTAAATGAAACAAAGAATAGTGTACAAAATATTGGAAGAGGAATCCTATATTATTAGGAATATGTGAGATAAAGATGGCGCAAAGTAACGAAAGCCAAGAGAGAAAAAGGTGAGACATCAGAACATAGAGATACAGAATTTTTTTGGGGAAAAAAGGGGAAAAGCAGGTGGAGACGAGCACCACAGAGACAGAAATGGGGATGAAGGAGATTTGAAAGCATTACAGAAGTGACTCACTTCATGGAGTCGTAGGCGGTGGACTGATTTAACATAACTTGGATCTTATCCTCCTCTGACACATCCGCATCAGCCAGGTTGGTCATCTGCATGTACACACACGAATGTACGTATGTGAGCAACAGACACAAAGATGGCAGGAGGATCAGTGACTCACATGATCCAGGATAAATACGTATAAGCTGAATAATAAAGAGAAGAAAAGAGAGTATACCTTGGAGAAAAAGGCTCTGGAAGAATTCTGGTCATCCATCTGTTAGAATTAAACATAAAATCAGTTTCACCGATGAAGCGGCGAGAGCCTCCAGGTTACATATCTTGGGAGAATATTAAGAGCTCTACATTCACACTTGGCAAAGATACACACTTCATTCAAAAGAAAGAGCATTCGTCCTGCTAAACTTGATGCTTTAACTCCAGCCCCAGTGCAAAGTGGGAGTAACTGCTGCATGTCAAATGTCCGCTTTCATAAACTTTTGAGCTGTAATACAATTTACACCAGTGGTTTTCATACAGAGTGGATAATAACTGTCTGTTCTCATCCCAGGATTACTGGCTCAGCACCTCCTGCCAACTCACTCCTCAGTTTTCATCCCTCCAAACTTGCTACACTGAAAATAAAGAAGCCAGTAACATAATGCTCAGGTCAGCATTTTGTCAGATAAAAACATCTTTGTCACCTAATAACCTAACCTCCTTCCTTGTTCTGAGCGCCTGTTCTTGGGTTGCTAGATGCAGTACTCTATGGACAGCACTGTTGGTTTGGTCCACACTGGAATATCTCAACAATTATTGGATGGATTACCATGAGATGTAGTAGAGACATTCATGCTTCCCTCTGGATGAATCATGATCACTATGGTTTACTTTGGTTTTTGACCAAACACCTGCAAACACATTCCCATCAGCCTCAGCTGTGAATAGTGCTGATGTATTAGCATGCTTCCAGGTTACACTAACATAGTGAACATGATAAACATTATACCTGCTAAACATTAGTATTTATCGGAGTACGACCTCAGCGACTCTTTAGTCTTCTTTTTTTAAATGATAAATATTATTCACAAATAACAGAACATTCATTACGTGTATGATCAAAGATAGAAGCAGATGTGTCAAAGTTACAGAATACTCAAACAGCCATTTTACAGATTTTACTTATAGTTACATTATTTCACAGCCAGTCTGGGTCAACTATTGTGGCTCTCGATCTTTATGTTCACTCAGTAAATGCATTTTTTAACATACAAATTAAACCTTATGAAAAACCAAATATTCAGATATTAACATGCAAGCATAAATCATAAACACAATGCACATTAAAGCTTAAAGTTGACACTTTAAACATCACACTTTAAAATAATTTTAAATCTAATGAGCTGGAGTACAGAGCCAAACAAAAAACAACTTCCTGACTGCACTAGATTATACTGTTTATGGCAGCAGGACAGATCTTCCTGCCTGGCTTAATTAAAGCTCAGCCAAATCCAATGAAAAAAAAGCTATCATGTTGCAATGTTGCAACGTAGGATCCAGTGTTTCTGGCACGTAACCCATACTGGGGACTAAAAGTCAGCATACGTCTGCTGCTTTATTTTAACTACTCTTTTTTAAATATCTATTTTTTGAGATCTCCAACTTTGTGAAAGAGCAACATTAAATCTCTGGAGTTCCTATTAGAGCTCGTCCAATGTCCAATACGATTCCAGTATGTGTCCTATTTTTAGATTTGACCAATGTCTCCAAAATGTGTTTTCTGAGGTATCGACTGTGGTTGTGTATCAGCGAAGTCAAACACATAATCAATACATAAGACAGCTTCATACAAACGACTTTATTGGTAGAAAAACACAAAAGAAAAAAAAGGATGTGCAGTCCAACAGACTCATAGTACTAAGAAGAGTGGTAGACACTTCTCCTACTGAGAAACCAGAGACAAAATCAGGTCAGGTCAGTGCACACTAATTGCAAGGAAAAGCTTTTGAGATGAGTTTGAGTTAGTTTACAAGATCATAAACAAAACGCCGCTACAAGAGTTCAGCGTAAAAGAACAATCGTGCACTAGTTAGTTTAAGAGAGGCATTGTGGTTTTTTTGTTCCTACATCAAAACGAAAACTGTATATTCAGCCCTTTTTGATAATCTCTGTAGTCATTATATTCCTTTATTTAAAATTCTTCTAACATTCATTTCATGACTGGATTTGTAGAGTTTGATTGGTGTTAATAGCAGCTGTTCACTTCACAAGAGTATTCTGAAGATTTAGATTATGCTGATGCGAAATTACTCATTTTGATTCCTTAAATCAATTATTTTTAATGATGGATCCAATGTGGAACTCATCTGGGGAATGATTAACTAAATGAGAAACTGCCTTTGATGTAAATTAACGGCTTACATCAGCACGGACTGCACAGCTTTTGAAAGAGGCCAATAATATAAACATACGTCTCCAAATGCTATAAGATGTCTGAAAGCCAGCGGCCAAGGTCATGACTGTGGGCACTGCCGGCACCATAAAGAAACAGTTGGGTTTATCAGCTGTGAATAGCTGGCCTGCATGATAACGTTTGACCCGCCCGAGCAGCTCCCGCCGCCCACAGATAGGTACTGAATGATTTTCAACAATGAGCACTGACTGGTGACACAGCAGCTTGTTAAATCAACAGCTGGGAGCTTTTATTAGAGAGAATATATGCACGTTTGTTACCCAGACTTATAGGGATAATGTCGAACTGGTAGAATTGTAAACTTGTACACAGTCTAACTGCAAATGCTACTTTTTAAATAACATTTTTTTATTTACTATTATTGCAAAATATGGTTTATCTGAGAGCAGCAGCTCCTTGTAAATCAAATACTGAGTAATGAGTACCACTTCCTCTTTTGCGACAGGAACTTAAACTGCAATAGAGGAAATAGAGGCTTTCCCTGATTCAGATTGTGGTCTCACTTTAAACCCATCATAGCAAAGCGCACATCCAACTAATGTCCGAGCACAGACATTAGGCTGTGTTAACAACGTGTGCGTGTTTAGTGGAGCTGCAGGAGAAGAAGTGCAGTGGGATTTGGTTTGGTTACGTACTGCTTTGATGGCTCCAAAGGCGTGGTGAAACTGGGCGTCTGATCGCTCACTGAAACAGAAAACAACAAAACCAGTTTCAACCCAGTCGCTCAGATTAGAGCTGAAATTACCAGCATTTATCCAAGAGGACATTTTATTGGCACCACTTCACAGAAACACCAGTATGAAATATAACTGTCAAACTGTTTTAAAAGTGAATCACACATTTAATGAACAGAAGCACTGTTTCCGTGTTCCACCTTGTTACCCTGGCTCTGGATGTCAGCGCCAGATGTTACGATATGAGACTATTATTTTTGTTTAACTATGTTGCCCCAAATCTGCCTCATGTCAGGTAGTGTTTCCCTGCATTACCCAGAATGCCCGTACAGAAGAAGAAGTAAAGTCAAAGTGCATTAAATATTTTTATTATTTGCTTGTCCAATCTGTCCTTAATATGGAAAATATGATATTACTCTGGCCGTTCTTTCTAAGATAGATTTAACACCATGTCTGCTTAGTGCTGCAAACTGTGAACCTCCGACTCTTTGATTCTGAACCTGATGTTTGTTTGTGTTTTGTCCTTCTTCATTTTAACATCAAAACCTCAACATCTGGCCTAGTGAACCATACAATATGACAAACACATCACTAAAACAACACATAAATGCCAGTTACATTCAGCCATAACTATCTTTAAAAGCGTTAGCAAAACATATTTACAGTCCATTCAATAAAGCGAAGTCTAAGTCTAAGTATTCCTCTGGTTGAGTTTAAAATGAGGTTTTAAGTTTAATGTAAAATGTGAATGTAAGGCTTTAAAATGACTCCGAGTGACTCCGTCTGTCTGCTTGTGCAGGTGGTGAGTTAGTTTGTTGCATTTAATCTTGTGAGCAGCGTTACACCTCTCTTTAACCTCTCCACCCGTCTGCATGGTGCTGACGGGGCTAATCACATGACCGCCGGTCTGTTCCAGTGAGGTCTTTTCCTGCTTTCCATGCATAAAACCCAGAGCACTGCTGGCTGTCCTGTCTAAGCCTGACTAATATCTGGGTAATCCCTGTGAACGTCCCCATGGAGTTACAGTTCTACTCTCTCCTCTTTTCCTGTGAGCACATTTTTATCATGGAAACGTTATGTAAAAAAAAAACCTGATTAATTAACTGTCGACCGTCATCTGAAGGATTAAGTAACCTGCCTCTGGTATGGATTCATGATGATGTTTAGCATTGTTTTCATTGTTTTCTTCACCATTATGGTCCTCATGCTGCTGCTCCACAAAAACAACTAGGCCCTTATATATTAACCTGCACCCTGCGTTTTATACTAATAGGTTAAGTTTTCATAGATATAACATTTTGGACCAATAGTCTAATTTTTATATTAAAATCAAATGATCTAACTGAAGCGTTCACTGACATTGTAATCTTATTGTGAAAAGTTGTACTAGCGAATGCTTAAAGAACTGTTTCGTAGACTTGTAGGTGTCAGCTCATCAATAACTGTGCAGGAATTCAGCTACAGTAGGAAACCCAAAACAATATACTTACATGTTGCGGGTCTTGTTTGAGGTGGACTTGACTCCGATGATGGGGATTCTCCTGACGATGACAGAGGAGCCTTTGGGGATCAGACCTTCATCGTCTGTGTACTCTGAGAGGGAGAGATGAGGAGAGTTTAATGTGTGACGATTAGCTCACACAAAATGATCTGAGTTAGGATTTTTTTTAGGAACCCAAGTGAACATTTCCCATCATAAGAAAATCTCTCATTTTCAGGCTCACTGAGAAATCGTGCACCGTTTGCTGACACATTACCATGAGATTGATTCTTTGGTACAGTACTTAAATAACTAGTCTGAGACTGTAACAGTATTTATACCATCTGCGATTATTTTCATGATTCATCAATGAACTGTTTTGTCTTTTACATGTCATAAAATAGTGAAAGAAATCCAAAGATACTAAGTTTACTATCCTAGAAGGCAAACATTCAACCCTGAGAGGCTGGATCCGGTGAACTATTGATATTTTTGGTTAAAATAAAATACTTAAACCATTCAGTGATGACCAAAATAGTGGCTGATTAAGTTTCTGTTGATAAATTAACTTACCAAAGAATTGATTGAGCTCTATCTGAATCTGCTAAATTAAACAAATCAATAAAATGTCCCATAGACAATTTCTGAAGGGATACAAAATTCATAAAAACAAGACCAAACGGACTTAATATGAACTTCCCAGCCAGGTAAACTCTCCCTCAGCAGTGTAACATTTCTCCACATATGGAAGTCCTGAATGACACAGCACTGTTTGATGTCAGTCTGATCAGTGTGACTCCCTCAGCCCCTCACATTATGCACCTTCTTCAGGGTTGTCAGCTCGTATCTGCAGGATACTGACACACTCTGAGGTAGTTCTTGTAATTCACGGGTGATTATCACGTTTGATCTGCATGTCACTCTTTTTCCATCTTTTAATACAGTAAATTCCCATCACCAATGACCCCCACACTGATGTTTTCATGTGTGTGTGTGTGGCTTCAGTCTTATGGTCATGTCTCTGCGGTGCTCCTACCCTACCTATTTTTATCCCACATCTCACGCTGTGGGACTTTTACATTCATGCCACTGGCGGGGTTGATCCTCCACCATCAGGCCGTTTAATGGAGGGCATGAGGCGGGCACGCAGCAGCAATGTGGCCCATTCATTAGGAGCCCCTTTTGTCAGTGCTTGACTTTTCTGGACCCCCCCCGTCAGGCTGAAAGAGGTGACGCAACCCTCTCACCGGGCAACTGTCAGACCTGGACCACGTGTTTTTTTTTTTTTCTAAGTTCAGGCAGTCAAGAAAAACACACAATAATCTGTTCCATACGTGTCTCAGTATTTACCTTCTTTGGTTTGTGCGCTGGTGATCTGCAGGTCGCAGTCCCCGGACCGGAGCTTCTCCCTGCCCATGATCTGCCTCTTCAGATCCCTCAGCGTGACGTGCGGGCCGTCGAAAACCACCGTGTCGTAGCTGAGTTTAGAGGAGAATTTATAGTGAACATGAGTCATGCTGAAATGAAGCCAAAAAAAAAAACAAAAAAACAAACAAAAAACCCCTCGTCCTACACTGTCAGAAACCCGACAGCTGACACTTTTCTCCGCGGTGACAGAGAAGCAGTATCGTGGTAGTTGCTAGGGGAGTACAACGTGAGCTAGCTGGCGTTAGCAGCCGGCTGCGTCGAGCGTCAGTCGGTCTATGAAGCTAACGCTAGGTCGTTACTCAACAACTGCCTGATAAAGTGGCGTTCACAGGATGACATTTCCTGGCGTCTGGTGGAACAGCAGCGGAGGCTCAACTGAAAGCGCACTCGCTCAGTTTCGAGTCTAAATTGAACTTTTATTCCTGCCAAAGCTGCTCTGGAGCCGAAGTGTTCGCTGACAGAAACCACCAGCTGTTTCCACAAGCAACGGCTCGTCAGCACAGAGCAACGTCTGATGCTGCGTTCACGTGATCCCCGCCCGCTCCAACTTCCGAGTGTCTTAAAGTTATTATTGCAAACGCACCTATCCGTCATTAAGTCCTATATCGATTTAGAGTGATTGTGTGTGTATTAAAAAGGTCGCATTGCTTTTAAATGTATGCGCTTTAAGATTTTTTTTTTAATCAGGCGTTTTTGTTATTGTTTTCATATTTAATTTATATTTTATTCTTTGCAAAAGCTTTGTAAACGTATATCATATTATTACTGTTATTATTATTAGAGAGTGCGTGTGGGCGGATATAAGTACTGTAAACAACACGTAATTTATGTGGTCTGACTTTAAGATAAAGAGACATAATGTGACAGTGGGAAGAAAAAAAAGCTGCGTGCAATTGAAACATTTCTAGAAAAAGACTAGAGGAAGAGGAAAACAAAACTCAAGAAGAAAAAAAAAGTCGACATATACACAACCACCTACATGCACATTTGTGTCAATGCCTAAAAACTCAAATTGTCTATTTTCAGGCCTGTACATAAGAATCGAATTTAGAGTATAGATTTTCCCCCTACACCTGAAGGCAGCATCCTGCCTCCAAGCTCAGTGCAGTGCACCTGTTTGGGCTCAGGGGACCACAGGCAGGCTGGCTCACAGAAAACCAGATTTACACCCGATAAAGATTAAATAACCCATTTCACTTGTCCAGTTCTTCTGTTGGAGATTTGACGTGATGATATATATTGTTTTAACTGCGTTGTAGTCCCGGGGGGGTCGGGGGCAGGGGGGGGAGTCACACTCCAAAGAAAACCAAGCTCTCTGACATTCAGGACCACAGAAGAAACATTTTTAAATCACATAAACTACAAAATGCACAAACTTTTCCAACTACATTTTGACTGCAGTTCTGTTGCCTGTGGAGCCTCAATGATCCACTAGAGGGAGATAAAGCACCATTTATGATGCTGGTGTGTGTGTCAGTTGAACTGTACTGCAGTGTCAGTCTGAAAGCTTCATATTTTGACACATTTAGTCCCATAGCTATGGAAAAACATGCTTATTTGTCCTTGACTGAAACAATGCCCTGCGTTATTATCTGACTGTACAGCACAGACTATATGCTAACCTCTCCTCTCCAACAAGGTTCCTCTACAGAGAATGAGGATGCCATTGACATTTTGCATTACATGCAGTGTGTGTGATTAGGCTACATATAGCCATGTATAACCATGTGAACTAAAATTGCGAATCCATTTTTAAAAACCCATTAGTTGGACTTAATTTAATTTAATTTAATTTGGACTGCCTGCCTCTAGAACTGTCCTTAAAGAAATAATTTGACAGTTTGGGAAATGCGTTCATTCGCTTTCTTGCCGAGTTGGATGAGACAATCAATAGGCCTACCACTCTCAAAATAATTATATATATATGATAATAGTATGGATATTAGTATACTAAGTATATTTATAGTACATATATGAAGCTACCCAAGCCAGCAGCCAGTTAGCTTTGCTGTTGCCTAGGACAACAGCAACTTGTTAAAATTGGGGATGAGAAGAAAGGGGGAGGGGTATAATGGTGGTTACTTAGATGAAGGCTTTAATAAGGATCTGGAGCTGGTAAATGGAGTTACCTTGGGACTCCCCAAGCTGTTTCCAGTCTTTATGCTAAGCTAAGCTACCCGGCTGCTGGCTCTAGCTTTATATTTAATGTACAGACATGAGAGTGGTATCATTCTTCTCATCTAACTTTGCCAAGATTTTAATAAATGAGGCGTTTATTCACACCAGAGAAAAGTGTTTTAAGCTAAACTAGCTTACCACAGGCTCATGTCTCGGGGATGGAGACAAGAGGTGAAGAACAAGACCAGCAAGAAAGTAGCTTAGGAAGCTCTGACATCATCACGGC